ACCACTTTCGTTACATAATTGCAACCTTTCGTTACAATTTCGTGGTGAAACTGTTTTCTCGGCCATTTCGAAAGGACTTTTCTCGCTTTAAATTAGATAATATTGTAGTTGCTTATCCATTCTTGATGTCCATATAAAGAAAACAAAATTGAACGACGATAAATATTTTCTTCTGTCGGTTAAACTTTTTTAGGCGGGGGTACATATATTCCAAAAAATTTTAAAAATCCGTTCTTTTGTGTTTAATCCATTGCCAAATAATTACGTTTGCTTAAAATAAAAGAAAAGTTGGTTTATTTCCACTTTCCAAGCTTTTGTAAAACGTAATGAACCAATTGATGATGTGGGTTATACGCTTTTAGATTTAACCCTGAAATTATTCCTAATGGGCATATGTTTATCTCAACATCCTATGTATCATTGGAAAGGGCATGAAATAAGCTTTAAAATGATGATATATTTTGTTTCAAAATGTTTTATTTTTTTTTACTTCTTGAGCTTAGAATGATGCTGTCCTGTATGAATAAATTATTTTTTTGAAAATTCGAGAAAAAAATAAAAAAAACATCGAAAATCGATTAATTCTCTTGGCAAAATTGTAGGGAATGATAACTCAGTATAAATATATTTTGTTCTTCTCAAAAGAACAAATATTGAAAGTTTTAGAATTTTTTGAAATTTCACATTTTTGGTGTTGTGACACCTATAAGAAATTCGTTACATAATTGCATTTCATTGCGGTTAGAGATAAATAGATAGGATATTGCAAAGAAAGGAAGAAGAGACGTTAGATAAGGCCTAATTATGATATGTTGAACGAAAAAACCTGCAGTTATGATACTCTAAATGCTAACCCTAACCATGTGCAATTATGTAACGAAAGTGAATTCGTTACATTATTGCATTATTGCAAGTCACCGTGATTAGAATAAAGCATATTGAAATAAACATTTCTTTATAATATTTATAGTCTTGAAATTATTTTATTGCATTTTCCTGCTAAAAACGTTTAACATATACACGTTAACACTCTAACCGCGATGAATTGCAATTATGTAACGAAAGTGAATTCGTTACATAATTGCAACTTTCGTTACATTATTGCAAGTCACCGTGATTAGAATAAAGCATATTGAAATAAACATTTCTTGATAATATTTATAGTCTTGAAATTATTTTATTGCATTTTCCTGCTAAAAACGTTTAACATATACACGTTAACACTCTAACCGCGATGAATTGCAATTATGTAACGATTTCGAATTCGTTACATAATTGCATTTCATCGCGGTTAGAGATAAATATATATGATATTGCAAAGAAAGGAGGAAGAGACGTTAGATAGGGGCTAATTATGATATGCTGAACGAAAAAACCTGCAGTTATGATACTCTAAATGCTAACCCTAACCACGTTAAATTATTCGTTACATAATTGCAACTTTCGTTACATTATTGCAAGTCACCGTGATTAGAATAAAGCATATTGAAATAAACATTTCTTTATAATATTTATAGTCTTGAAATTATTTTATTGCATTTTCCTGCTAAAAACGTTTAACATATACACGTTAACACTCTAACCGCGATGAATTGCAATTATGTAACGAAAGTGAATTCGTTACATAATTGCAACTTTCGTTACATTATTGCAAGTCACCGTGATTAGAATAAAGCATATTGAAATAAACATTTCTTGATAATATTTATAGTCTTGAAATTATTTTATTGCATTTTCCTGCTAGTCTTGAAATTATTTTATTGCATTTTCCTGCTAAAAACGTTTAACATATACACGTTAACACTCATATTGAAATAAACATTTCGATAATATTTATAGTCTTGAAATTATTTTATTGCATTTTCCTGCTAAAAACGTTGCAATTATGTAACGATTTCGAATTCGTTACATAATTGCATTTCATTGCGGTTAGAGATAAATATATATGATATTGCAAAGAAAGGATAAAGAGACGTTAGATAAGGCCTAATTATGATATGTTGGACGAAGAAACCTGCAGTTATGATACTCAAAATGCTAACCCTAACCACGTGCAATTATGTAACGAAAGTGAATTCGTTACATTATTGCAAGTCACCGTGATTAGAATAAAGCATATTGAAATAAACATTTCTTGATAATATTTATAGTCTTGAAATTGTTTTATTGCATTTTCCTGCTAAAAACGTTTAACATATTTAACATTAAGTAACCAAATTGAATTCGCTACAGTATTGCACAAGGTCATGGTTAGCTTTTTGAGTATACTTACCTGATGTAATAATTTTGTTTTAGAGCATCAGTCAGAGATACATACATAGATATGTCAACCATATCTTAGTATCTCTGTCCGGGCTTGGGACGGGGACCCTGCTCTAGTAAGCCCATGTTTTTAATTGATTTTATTGAAACCCAATCAAGGAATTAAATTACAATTGAAAGGGTTTTTTTTTTTTGGTCTTTTTTTTTTTTTTTTTTTCTGTTTATTGAAACCCTATCAAGGAATTAAATTACAATTGAAAGGGTTATTTTTTTTGTCTTTTTTTGTTTTTGTCTTTTTTTTTCGTTTATTGAAACCCTATCAAGGAATTAAATTACAATTGAAAGAGTTTTTTCTTTTCTTTTTTTTTTTCTCAGTCTTTTTTTTTTTTTTTTTTTGGTGGGGTGGTTGTCGTTGTTTTAGATTTTGATTAGAGGAGCTGGATTTCCGTTCTACTTGTCCCTCCGGAACTGTCGTTCCCTATCGGTTATTTTCTTGATAGGGAAGCGGACAACCACGCTCTCCCCGAGCCCATCCTTACACATAAGGTCTTTGACAGCAACCTGTGTTATTTCTGCCTTGCTCTCGACTAGCGATTTACAACAGCTCAATATCCAGTTCGCCTCCCACCTCACGAACGACCAAGGAAGAGCTAGTTCTTCCACATGTTCAGATTCTTCCTCGCTTACTTCCTCGTCTTTTGGTTGCGTCGTCTCACCAATGGAACTGGAGTCACATGACTCACCTAGCATTATTTCTTTGATAACACCGCTAACCTTCAAGCTTTCCTTTTCTTTTTGATGTATCAAATAATAATTATCAGCAGTGGTCGGTCGGTGAGTCATGTGACTCGCCAGTGACTCCCTCATTTCTGGGTGAGCCTCCCGCACGTGGGTGGTTGTGGTTTTCCGAATTTTGGTAGCTGATATCACGGGGGCCTTCGGACATGCGGCACTCCAGAAAGCCTTAATCCCAGCATTGACCTCACTAGTGTTTATTGGCTGTCCTGTCGATGTTAAAAAGAAGGCAGCACTAGCCTCTAGAAGTTTTTCATCTTCACATGCAAAAACACGCCGTCTTACCTTTCCGTAATCGGCCATAACACTCCACAGGTCCGCTGGGATTATGAGCGTCACTGGTGTTCGATAGCCGGTTTTGTGGTCAGAAACCACGACCACCCTATTCCCGCCTTCTCGCACCTGGGCATAGTTCATCAACCGCATAGTTATACCGGCAATTGCTCCTGACCTTTGAGCATTGGCAGCAAGAATGTTAAACATAAAAAAAATTCCTGCACTGTGAAAGATGTATCTTGCTCACACTGTCCAGTTCACAGCAGGCAGTCATTTTAAGATAGGATCTTGCGTCCGCTGCTTGTTGGGAGGTCAATGCCCTTGAAAGGTCGGTTGGTGTAATCTCCTCTGCCGCATCAGTAACGGATTTTGCAATAGCCCTCTTCCTAGCCAACTTTCCAAGGGAGTTGGCCCACCTCCCTGTACTCTCAATCAACGTTCTGCACTTAGACTCATCGGCCCCTTTTTCTCGGATATGAGAAATGATGAAAATTCTCGAAGTGATCCTAGAAATGACCGGAGAGTCCCCGGCTGGAGACTCTCGGTTCGGCTCATCATTACTATATGCAAATAACGTTTTCCCAACCCCATTTTTTTGCAATTTTGTAACGAATTCGGTCAAAAAATTCAAAACTTTCAAACTCGATTTTTTCATGGAATTAGGCCCGAAAAAAATTGTCTAGAGGTTGCAAAAAATTAAAGAACCACCCCAAAAACCCTGCACAAAAGAAATTTTCAAAATCGGACTTTTAATGGATTTTTTACGCACGAAACACGAAAACTGTGACTTCAAGTTGCCACGGTGAGTTGACTGCATATGGCCGGAAACTCAAAATTTTCAACTCGATTTTAAACGGAAGAAAAAAAGCTGGGGGTTAGAGCTGATACTTATTTATGCTAGGGGGTTAGCCTAACCCCCTAGAAAAAGCTAATAATATGCTCTAACCCCCTTTAAATGACGAAGATGCAATTATGTAACGAAAGTGACACATTTTCGCCAATATCATCATATCGAATGATTTTTTTCAGCAACAACTGACACCAAATAGTGCAACAAGATCTTTCACAAGTTTGATTTGAGTATCGTGAACCTTCAAATAACTTTAGACCTAACCCTAGGGTCATTGCTATTATGTAACGAAAGTACTCTAACCACGGTTCTAATTTGGCTTAAGAACTTTAAAAATGCTGAAGGTATGTTAGCTCGTTGGTTAAGTGTCATAGAAACTTCAGTACAGGGCTGGTTCTAAACACAGGAATGCTGACGCATTATCAAGACGACCCTTAAGAAAATATGGACGTTCTGATTGCCCAGACTGTTATGACCTTGAGCTGGTAGACACAGATAGGGGTCAGCTCTCCGAGCACCATTCTAAAGTTGACTGTGAACAGTTAACAGATCCCATATGCCCTGTAGCGCAAGCTCCTGAAGTTCAGTGTAACTGGTTGCCAGTGTGGACCAGAGATGAGATATTAGAAATGCAGGTTAAAGACAAGGGAATAGGACCCATCTTAGAATTGAAAAGACATCTGATGTTGCTCCAGATGAAAGGGAAATAACCCACCTCAATAGTGACGCTAAAAGTTTATGGGTCCAGTGGGATTCTCTACCGTTAGAAAACAGTTTGTTATACAGACGGAAAAAACTGGGTGACAATGAGTATAGAATGCAGTTGGTAGCTCCTGTAGAGATCAGGGATTCTATTTTTGAGCACTTGCATACAAGTCGCACGGCTGGTCATTTTGGCCGTGATAGAACATTGGAAACTGTAAGTCGAAGATTCTATTGGCCCGGTATGACAGACACATTAACTCGCTGGTGTAAATCCTGTGATCTTTGTGCTAGATGTAAACCAGGTCCCTCTAGATTTGGCTGTCCTTTGCAGTTACATAGTGACATGGCTCAGGAATTTGAGGGAAAATTATTCACAGAGGTTTGTAGGTTGTTAGACATTAAAAAAACTCGTACCACCCCCTATAGACCTTGTTCCAATGGTTTGGTAGAACGTTTCAACCGTACATTAAAACAAATGCTGTCAATGTATGCCCACGAGGGAAAGTTGGATTGGGATGATCACCTGCCCTTCATATTAATGGCCTATAGGGCTAGTGAACATAAGAGTACTGGTTGCACGCCGAACCTGATGATGCTAGGACGTGAAGTAGATTGCCCTATAGATCTCATGGTGGGAGGGGTTCCAGAACCGCATACAGATATTTGTACCCTTGAATATGTAGAATGGTTGCGAACAACCATGCAGGAGACTTTTCAGTATGCACATAAACACCTAGAAGTTGCAGCAAAGTCACAGGAAATAACCTATGACCGTAACCTGAAGTCTCGAGAATTCCAAATAGGTACATGGGTGTGGCGCTGGTATCCCCCTAAAGCTGGCCTCAAGCTGGAATTAGGTTGGACAGGGCCATATTTAGTAGTAGACAAACTGTCATCTTTGACCTACAAAATTTAAAAAAAATTGCAAAACAGCAGCGATTAGTGTACATGTAGATCACCTCAAGCCATATGAGGGAACCAATCAACCAGTTAATTGGTTACAAGCCCAGAATGTAAGTCCAGCTTCTCTGGAGATGTCTGAAGGCCATCACACTGTTATAGGGGGAGACAACTTCCCCAGTGACACATCTTCAGATGAGCAGGACATGATTCCTCAGCAGTTATTTCGGTCTCCAGTCAGAACCAGAACAGGGAGGATGATAAACCCCTGAGACCGATATTCTCCATAGCAGATAGTACAATAAAAATGAATTTCTAAGACGATGTAGAAAATGTGTACTGTACACAGAAATATTAGAAGTTTTCAACCACAGAGTATGTAGTTTTAACCTTGAAATAATGTATATATCTAAAGACTTACCCGGCCGATAATATGTCTGCCGTGTTTCTGCTTTATTTTTCCATATTATTGTTAAAAACAGTTCCACAGTTTATGATCAATATAAAAGGAATGATTTTTAATGACGAGTTGCATCATAGAAGGAAAATGCAACGCAGATTTTCCTTTTTCAACATTTTTCCAAAAGAGATGCTGGTGAAGACAAGGCAAGGATAAGTACTTGAAAGCTAAGTGTTTATTTTATTTAAAAAGGACAAATGCAATTTTTCATTCTGTCCAATTGATTATGCTATATATATATGTAAAGCCTAGTTTTGAAAGAAAATTATTTTTCTTCTTTTTTTAAGGGGAAAGGAGATGGCTGTACATTCTGAAATTAAAAAAAAAAATCTCTTAAGAGTTAGTTGTAGGTTTACTAATCCTATTCACTACTTACATTACCATCTTTGTGAGAAACTATGAGTAGTTTCTGTTTCTATTTCAGGAATATTTCAGAAGTTGATTTGAAATCTAAAAAAAAAAAAAATAAAGTCAGATCATGGAGATCCTGAGTTACTAAGCCTAGTAGCTGACCTGCACGAGTTGCAGGAATTTCAACACATGGAGAGGCAGCTCTGGCCACAGGAGGGTATGTCCTGTCCAGTCGAGGGATGTGGTCCCCAACATTACTCTAGGCTTGGGGCCTATCTTACTCATTGGAGCCACTACCACTCCCCTGCCGTACGGCTGCATGAATGTAGCCGATGTGGCAGGAGGAGTCGGGGGCGATCCCGGGCGGTATGCCACCTGAGGAGCAATCAAGAGGGAGGGAAGCTGAAGGTTATTACGGTTCCCAACAGGGAGTACCGTCCCCCTGGAGACATCTTGCCGCCCAGGCTGGGGAATCTCACAGAAAGGAGGCAGCGGGAAGATTTCCAGCACATAATAAATGATGAAATTTAGACTGGAAAAAGAGACTTATAAATTTGTTGTTTCTTTATATTTATTATTTTTTTTGTTTTTGTTAAAGTTTCAGTTTTATGTTTCATTTCTTTTCAGTATTATTTATGTACAAGAACGTTATACAAATATCCAGAGGTAGACTACAGGTGCCAACTAGTATTTAATTAATTTAGACAAAGATAATTTGTTTGAATTACTTTGATCTTAAGGTGGAAGGCATGTGGGATAGGTCGTTTTACAGAGTCTTTTATTCGGACTGCTTCGTTACGAATGGCGATAATTATTGTGACCCAGTAGTAATTTTGGCTCTTGGTAGGTTAACATACCCTTAGTCACGTTGTTAGTTGTACTTTGGTGAGTTCAGCCTACGGTTTAGTGGTGATATTCTGTCTGGTTTGACGAATGTCTATTTAGGAAATTAGTTTGTTGATTACGTCGGCCATTTTGTGAAGTGTGCCGTGCTCCAGCGTAATACGTGCTGTGATTGGTTGAGACTTAAGCGGTGGAGCCAATCGCTAAGTCTTTTAAGTTTTAGATACATTGCTATGGGTCAGGTGATTACGGGTATAAAAAGACAAACACGTTCGGGCTTCTCGGTTTTTCTCTGCCGGAGAATTGGTGAGTTTAGGTTAGACTTCAACAGCCGTTGTTGACGCTTTGAGACCAGAGCGACTTAAACAATAGAGAAATGCTCTGAAAACAGAGTGACATTGCTTTCTGAGTTAGGGTAGGCCATAGGTTACGATGCTCTGAAAACAGGGCAGTACTTTCACTTTCGGTTTGTGGCTACGGCCATGTGACTATTTCTATACTCTGAAATAAGAGTACTCCTGTTATTATGCTCTGAAACCAGAGCAACCTTTGGTATGAACTTATAAGTGGCTTTGTTAATCTAAGCGGTGTTATCACTGCTACGGCCTACTAACACTAACATTAGCATTATGTAAGGATTTATAGACAGTTATCATGTAGTGTTTTCCCTGGGTGGAAGGGTAGTTGTTAGTCCGTCTCGGAGGCCATTAGAGTTCTGTCTAGTGTTACTTTAAGAGTACTAGTCCATTACAGTAATGGACATTGTTTATATTTAAATCTACCTCTAGTTGTCTTTATAGGCAAGAGTCTGAAGTGTAAGGAGGGAATGTTGCCATGGGAACTTCCCAGGACTAGGAACTGTGTACCTTGCAGTACTACCTCACTTTACATTTATTTAGGTTGACTTATTTTTGATCTGTTGACTCTAGTTTATTTTTGATCAGCTTTACACTTCTGTTAATTTATTTTTGTTTTGTTTATTCTTTTTTTTCCCGCCTTAATACTCATTTTCCATCAATGTCTACATAATAAACTTGTGGAACTAAACTTCTGTGTTGTCGTGGGTCTTTCCTAACACTTCGACTAATCAAGGATAAAGAACCTGAAGGTGTGCTTGGAAGTTGACTGTTGGCCATTGTTCTGTTGCGAATTATACTTGTCTCGGCCTATTTTCTCTGAAATTGATCTAAAATTACACAACGCGAAGTCTTTTGTATGGCCTAACTCTCCTCTTCCGAACCCTTCTACTACAGATAAAAGGTACTTATTAATTTATAAAATCGATGATCATTAAAATTTATATTAAGTTTTATAATTCAAGCAAGCTAGTTTATAAAATACATTTTAATAGTATCATACGGAAATGCGATATCAATCTGCTCCACTTTGCTATAAATGTTCTTTCCGTCGACGGACGCAATGCCCCTATCTGCGTATTTATATCTTTAAAAAATATATGATGGGTCCTTTTCGTGGAGAATATCTCCAAAACTACTCCTTTTCGAGGTTGACCGCAACCCGTGTGACGCGTACTAACACTGACGTACGTAACTTACGAGATGGTATAGAAGCGACCAACTTTATTGGCTACACTGTGATCCTATGTACACTAAGGTCGAAAATGGTGTGACGAGATGGTAAAAGATTTTGGACATAGAAGATGGAAACAATGTACTGTCAATGTACAATGTAACAAAAATCACAGTTGTGGATAAATAAAGCTGCATAGATTTACTTACCAGGGACGTGGGCACAAATTCTCGCACATTATGACCAAGTGTTAAACAAAGCGTAACCGAATTGACTACAGTACATGTTCACCTATCAGGTGATTTGTTTCGTTTATGATCTATTTACCATCTCGTCACACTATTTTCTATCTTGGCATACATGCTATTTTAAGTATAGACGAAATTGTTGGTCGATTCCTTACCATCTCGCACACTACGCACGTTAGCGCAAGCACGCGCCACACTGGTAATTTGTCTGAGTAAGATAACCGAGCAGTCATTAAAACGTCACTTTAATCTTCTACTTACGTGTAATAAGAACTTCTATTCTATAAGATAACGCATTGTATCAGTCTTGACTTGTGACGAGAAAGAAATTTGCTCCTTGTCAAAATACAATTACATCACTGACTTATATACGGCAGATTTCATTTATGCTAACGTGACATGGACGGAAAATCCCATTTTATGTACCATCCAAGTCAAATTTTAAAAATGCATATTTTTGGATAATTTTTGAAGTATGATAATATTTAAACATCCAATTCTAATAAAATATAGAAATATTTATACATTTCTACTTTTACATTGTGCAAATAGCAACAGAAAGTGGAGACCCACGAGATACACACAGAGACACCATGTTCCTAACATACCTATTTTTCAAAAAGGAAGGCACTCAAGTGTTTTCTTAAGCATCTTATTTCCTTGTTTTGGTATTTCATTAAACAAAAAATCAAATTTTACTATTTAAGAATTGAAAATAAATATTTTAACAATGTCTGAATCTAGTGTAACAGTACATGGTAAATACTGAAGTTTTTTTCAGTTTGTCTGCTAAAATAAGTCAGAAATAAGATAATAGCAGATAAAACAATTAATCAAAACATTGTTGTTCAAGTATTGTAATGAAAAAGCTAAAAAAATATAACTTGACAAAAATATCACTTTTTTCTTCTGGCCAATGCTAACTCTACATATTGGACAGAAATATGCATGCTAATGTTACATATTGGACGGAAATATGCATGCTAACGTTACATATTGGACGGAAATATGCATGCTAACGTTACATATTGGACGGAAATATGCATGCTAACGTTACATTCGGACAGAATTTATGCAGTGCTAATGTTACTTTCAGGACGGAAATGTTAAAATTAGCTTTCAAATCTTTTAAATCTAACAAAACCAGTTTTTTGCACTTTTTAAAAATACTATATGTATATTAAGGTTATATATTTCATGTTCAGCCCATGAATTGTCCAGAATAATGAATTCCTCGTCACAGCATGCTAATGTTACATTGAGGACAGAAAAACGATTGCTAACGTGACCTAGAGACAGAATTTACCCAGTGCTAATGTTACTTTTAGGACGGAAATCATAAAATTTGCTGTAATATCTTTCAGATTCAACTAAACCAGTTTTTTTCTCCGCTTTTTAAAAACACACTAAAATAAGATTCTTTAAATATTCATGTTTAGTGTATGAATTGTCCAGAATAATGAATTCCTCATCACAGTGTGTTAATGTTACACAGAGGACGGAAAAACGATTGCTAACGTGACCTAGAGACAGAATTCATACAGTGCTAATGTTATATCCAGGACGGAAATATTAAAAATTGCT